CTCAGGGAGAAGGCACACAAAGAAAGGCCACAGATGACAAGCACAGGGTCTAGATTGGTTCCTATGGGGAGAGGCAGTCCTTAAGGTATTGAGGTCCTGATCTCTGTAAGGTCAACACCAGCACTTTGAATTGGGCCCAGAAGCTAATCAGCAGTCAGTGCAATTGTGCCAGATTATATGTGTTATATGCTCAAATTGTCTTGTTCTGGTGAGTGATCTGGCCATTGCATTTTGTAATGGCAGCCCCACGCATAATGCATTGCAGCAATACAGCTTGGAGGTTGCCAGAATGTAGGCCACAGAAGTTAGGCTCTCCCTGTCCAGAGAGGGATGCAGCTGGGCCACCAGCCAAAGCTGACAAAAGGCCACCTGAGCCTCAAACAACAGCAGTGGACACAGCAGCACCCCCAAGCTATGTACCTGCTCCTTAAGAAGGAGGGAAACCACTAACATTGCCTCTGTCTTATCTGGACTGAGCTTCAGTTTATTGGATTTAGTTAATTGGGGCATTTCCTGTTTCCCCTGCCCAGCATCACACACCTCAAAGCATATCCAGAATGCAAAGAGCTTATTATAATAGTTGAATGTAATATGATTGGTGGCTGCTTTGTCTTAGGTTCCCTAAATCAGCTTGAACCCTACAATCTGTCTACCTCTGAAGCATGGTTGTGCTTTTCTAGTAAATCCCTCCTATTTTTCCTAAGATTTGGCTGCAAGAAACTATGTACAACTTGATTCACAGCATGTTTACATGTACTTTGTCATGCAATGGTAAAAAATGGGTGCATTGTATACTGGGATGCACCAGAGCTCCATAGCAGAGCACATGCTTTTCAGGCAGAGGGTTTCCTGGCTGATCCCGGGCATCTTCCCCTATAGGGACCAGGCTGCAGGCGATGGGGAAAGATTTCTGTCTGAGACTCTGCAGAGCCACTGCCGGTCTGGGCAGACAACCCTGGGAAGGACAAATGAACAGTCTGACCTGGCTTGTGACAGTTTCCTACGTTCCTATGATATTTTAAAAGAAAGATTTATAATGAAATTATAACTTGATGTCTGGCAGAACAAGATGTTCTTCTCTACCTGCCAAGCCAGAGTAGCACTGCTGAAGCTTTGTTGTTTAGTCGTGTCTGACTCTTCGTGACCCCATGAACCTAGAGCACGCCAGGCTCTGAAGCTACATCCGTGCAAACTCCTCTACCTGCCACAGGTGATGGCCCAGACACATGGATAAGCTACTGTTTTCCACATGCCTCGGATCAGCAACTTGTGTGAAGCCCAGCACATTTATCATCTGCTTATTTTCTCTCTTTTTTTAAAATAATAAAATATTTATTGAAATTTTCAAGTGTTACAACATAAAATAAAAGCAGAAAAAAATACAAAATAAAAATAGTTAACAAAGTAGAAAAAGAAAAAAACAAACAAACCCCTTCCAACCATAGAAATACAAATTCAAAAATAAGAAAAAAAGACAGAAAAAAACCAAAAATACAATTTAAGAACATTTAAAAACAAATTCATTATTCTCGAATCCTCAACTGTCATTACCTTCTTTCTTTGACCTCCTCCTCCTCCCTTTCTTTGTATCCTAGTTATTAATTATCCCAGCAAATGCTTTCCATATTTCATAATATTCTGTCATTACATTACCCTAAACAGTTTTAATCTTATCTTTCTATAAGAAAATAAACCTTAAAGCTTAAAACTTAAATCTTATCCTTACCAACTTCTCATAACCATAATATTCTTTCATAATTCTTTAAACATCTTTACTAAAGCCGAGTAATTTCATTCCAACATTTTTCTGACATTCATCAATTTTATAAAACAGTTCTAATGGTAGAAAAAAGAAATACAAACAGATCGAATCTTCATCCAACGTCCCTTCCTCCTGGTTCCGGGTTTTGTCAGTCCTTATTATCCCATCGATCTGGCCCATTAACCTGGCAACCTTATATTCGAAGCCCTCAAGTCTCTTCCATGTCCCTTTCGCAGCTCTTCTTCGTATTTGTAACAGTATTTTCCCTTGTCTCCTGCTTGTGGTAACTCAAGCTTGGCAATATTTTTAACCCTTCTCGACAGATCAGCCCCTTTTCCATATTCAGCACTGAATTCCATATGGTATTTAAAAGCATGTTTCAAAGACCCTCCAAAATTAAGAGCCCCCACAATCCCAAACATCTCACGGCCCATTGCCAGATTTGAAAAGTCCAAACATCCCAGCATAGGGGTCAATCCAGCCCCCATTTCCAAGCCAAACCAAACTTTTCTTTCCAAATCTGGCGTTTTCCAAGTTCATTTGTCAAATCCAAATACTCATATTCCTGTTGGGCCTGTTCTGTCAGGACACACTCCTGATTTAATTCCTGGGTGGGCTCCACATATTTTCCCACTGTCTGTTCAAAATTTCCCACTGCCTGTTCAAAATTTCTAGTCGAAGTCGTCATCAAATTCACCTTCTCATGTAACTGTTCCAGTAGGGCATTTGTTTTGTAGAAAGCACACAACAAAGCTTCTGAATACATTGTCCTGCAAGGTCAAATGCCTATTCCCACGATTGTAATCTGTAAACAGCTGCCGGCTCCCTGGAGTTGGTTACAGTTTCACAGTCTCCCTCTAGGGGGAAAACTTCTATTTGATCTTGCAACAAAGTTTCCCTTTTTGAAATACTTTGTCAATATTTGTTCCTTTGAAATGCAAAGGGAAACAGTGGAATCGCTATGTTTCTCTTCTTTTAGCTATCTGTCAAAAACGTTTGTCTCTGGTCAATGAACTTCAAACGTCAGTCCTGACACCCCGCTCCAGGATCAGGACGGAGGAAAGTTGCTTTACTTTAAAACTCACTTTAAACAGTCCGAAAAAGATCCCCCTTCTTCTCCTGCTGTCGAAGGGGGGTTCCACAATTTTAAATGAAGAAATCCAATCCTTTAAAAGTGATTTTCTGAGCTCTAGTTTACGTTGTCTTTGCTTTATTCTGTCTACAGAAGAACGGAAGGCTGACTTCCTGTTTAGACCTTCCCGTTCCGTACCAAATTGAAATAGATTTTTAAGATCCAATTCCTTTCTGCTCGCAAGTCCCCATCTAATGTCCAGTTGTTCAAAGTCTAAGTACTCACGGGTGCTTATTTTAGAGTCCAAATTGTCCCAGGAAAAAGGCAGTGCTCTTCGGCAACGGCTATGCGGCTTCGCTCCACGGAAATAGCAGTTGACTCACAGCACCGTGCCACTTCCCCCTCTTCACTTCGGAGCCCGTTAGTGGGTTCCTTAGTGAGTTGGGGAGGGCGCTAAAGGTGCCCGCCGAGTCCCATGGTCACAGGCTTCATCCGCCTGTGATTTTTGAAAGGGTCCCCGCTTCGCCGTAGCGGAGAAGACCCGTTTCCCGCGGAGCTAGTCCCTCCAGTTCAGAGGGAGTCCACCATTGCCGATGGCGCCACCCCGGAAGTCCATCTGCTTATTTTCTCAAGTCAAAGGAAACGGGGGGGGGGAGGGGGAGAGAAAGTTAGAATTGGAAACGTCATAGAATTTACTATGGTTTTTCAAATTTTAAGTCTGGCTATGGCCCAGTTTGCACATCATGGAAAACCATAGTTAATGGTTTGCTGTGAACATGGAGGTTTGCACTTTCCTTAGCATGAGCAACAAATCATGATCCTTAGCTTAGTGTTAGGCCAAAACCATGGATCATTGTTTGTTTTGCTCCAACTACAACTACTAAGTCAAGAACAAGACTTGGAAACACATCATGATTTGGAGTGAATCAAGCAATTATCCTCAGTTTGGATATAATGCTAGGCAGTGATCATGGTTTGTCACTCCTGCTCATGCCAGGGGAGGAGGGAAGTGGATGCAACATGTGTTCATGGTAAACCATCAACTATGGCTTACTGTAACATGTGAATGCACCCAAAAGCTCAAAAATGCAAAATCATGAAAATATTTTAGGGATTTGTAGCTGGTCTTCCTACAAAAATCTTACATTAGGTAATAAATGCAAGTATTCCATTTCTTAAAAGTGAATTTCCAAGCCATGCAGCTACAGAGAAAAGGTTTGAATCTTTAGTACTGTACAGTGGTGCCTCGCAAGACGAAATTAATTCGTTCTGCGAGTTTTTTCGTCTTGCGAAGCACGGTTTCCCAAAGTCTTCAAAATCACCAAAGTCTTCAAAAACCTCAAAAAAGGCTACCACACTATGAGTTGCTATGAGTTGCTCCTCGAAGTCACCCTGGGTATTAACGGTTTTAAGAAAAAGGAAACAAACTTGCAAGACGTTTTCGTTTTTTGTCTTGCAAAGCAAGCCCATAGGGAAATTCGTCTTGCGAAGCAACTCAAAAAACGAAAAACTCTTTCGTCTTGTGCGTTTTTCGTCTTGCGAGGCATTCGTCTTGCGAGGTACCACTGTACCTTGAAAACAATAATAAAAAACAAGAGTGCTTCTGTTTGCCCACACTTGCATGCATATGCACACTCATACACTCTCTCAAACCTCAGATTTAACTGCCTAACATGAGATAGATAGATAGATAGATAGATAGATAATAGAAATCCGTATGATTTATATGAAGGTTGATTCTATTTCCCAACTTCCAATGAAAATGAAATATTTGGAGGTGATGAAGTGATTAAGCACTCTAGCAAGCTGAAATATTTCCATAGCTTAACTACTCTAATCTGTCATTTTATTAGCTATAGAGACATAGGCCAGGATCCAAATAATTACTAGTTTGTGTGTCCAATTAGGATGTGGACCTGCGTTGTTTCATACAGTCATAGCCACACATGGCAACCTCTTACTTGGGTTTTCAAAAGCAGTTGGGGATACAGCACATTGGCTTGCTGTTCAAGGGCGGAAAGAAGCCCTTTGGAGCATGTAAAGAAGCTGCCTCTCTAGGTGACAGCCATTTTTTCTACAGCAAACACTATTGATTATAAATCTGTGTATGAGTTAACTTAACCACCTGACTTTTGTGTTTTTAGCAGGAAGCACCACAAGTCTTTCTTGCAGCTGCTTCTCTCTCTCTCTCTCTCTCTCTCTCTGTGTGTGTGTGTGTGTGTGTGTGTGAGAGAGAGAGAGAGAGAGAGAGAGAGAATATATATATATATATATATGTTGCCTGGAACTATATGGCAGAAAGGTGGCCTATAAATGCAATAAGTAAATAATCTGCATCCACTTCTCTTTGCTGTGTTGTTTCCCCTGTGTTGAATTTTAGATTGTAAACTCCTTGGGGCAAGGACCTGTCTTTCTGCTTATATTAAATTGCTATAAGCCACCCTGAGTAGTGTATAGGCACCAGAAGCACAGGATAAAATGTCTATCTAAATATATTACTCCTAACCAAATCACAATTCTGTACCAGATATCGCAACGTTTATCATACAGGTATACACAAACACGTGTCAAGCACACTCAGTAGCAAATCTGAGCAATTTATGAAGCAGCTATGTGAATCCTCTTCTTACATTCATTTGTAGGTTTTGATATACAGGTCTTGTTGACTTTCTGCACATGCCTCTAATAAAACCGTTCATCTCTATGGCTCATAATATTAAATGTATCCTCTATTTTGTAAGATTGAATGTTTTATTAGAGGGCAGTAAGGGAACCAACCCTCATCTTTCATGAACAAATGCAACTTTTTTCATAGCACTGTCTACCCTGCTGATCTAATAATACCAGCAAATCCAAAACAAAAGGCATACCGTTAAACCTTTGCTAAAATAAAGCTTTATCTTGTAGACATTGGATTAAGGTTCTGAGCTGCCCCATGCTGCCAGGATTTTGGGGAAAGAGATGAGGATAACAGTGCATATAATCTCCTCACATCCACCCCAAGGGAGACATAAACAGGTATGTTATTAAAATACCACTGGGGCCTTTCATTTTCTCTTTTTTAAAAGGATAATGTGTAACAACAACAAAGAAACCCGAATGAAACCAAAAGAAACAACTAATATCAGGAAAGATTGTATGGGATACATCCAAGGGGACAGACACTGCTGGGAAACACAGAGTTGTCTTGCTGACAACCTTCCCAAAAAGAAAGTTGGCCCTGCAGGCTATTTTTCTAGCACCGCAGAAGTGTTGCCCAGGCGAAACGTTTGCTTCGCTTTCCTCCCTCCAGAGCCGATTTCGCTTGACAAATCCACCTGCCTTCTTTTCTTCCTCTTGGCCCTCCAGCCACCATTGTCCGGAGGCCTGGCAGAGCTAGCAGTATAAAGACACCTTCAGATGTAAGAACTGCTTAGAAGCAATAATTTCACAAGGAGCGGCACCAGGCTGAGGTGGGAGGAATACCTTTCAATGGAATAGATTTGGGAAGCGTCGGACCTCTGCCATACAATCCCACACTAGGCCAAGTTCCTTTGCCTGTTATTCCTCTCCTACCAACACCTCACCACCTCCCTGGTCCTAAGCCACGCTGGCAAGTTGTCTGGAGCTCTCGTTCTGTCTTGGTCCTTTCCTTTCTTCAGCTCCACCCAAGGGGTCCTGGGGGTTCACGTGTCACCACCAGCAGCATGAGAACCCCGAGGCGTCCTATGATGCTTACGGAACAATTTGTGGCAGGCTTCCATTACCTCCGAAGGGTTCCTCAGCACCCAAACGCTGCCCTCATATAACCCGACACTTCTTTCTCCATGGCATGTCACAGTATCTCTAAACTGGTGTTTTTAAATCATTGCGTAAACTGCATAAGCATATCTTCTCTATCATATTTTCTTGGAACGTCAATGTAATTTATGACTGAAAAGTTTCTCTGAAGGGCCTCATCTAAGGTTTTTATTCTAAGTTGTTTGCTTTAAAGGGGTTTATAAATCTGCCAGTTCTGTGTTAATACTTGGCAGACAAGAGCTTACCCTCAGTTATATAACAACGTGGACAAGATGTTTGGCATTTGCCTATTGCTCTTGGTAACCATATTGGAAATGCCTCTGATGATTTTTAGAGAGTTGTCTAATGGAAGCTCCTCTGTAGAACAGTCCATCTACAGCAGAGAATGTGGAAGAGACTAACCTTAACTAATACTGGCCTGGTTCACCTGCAGTGCTAAGACAAACGATGGCTGAGAGAGCGAGAGCGTGCGCGCCTGTGGATACTATGCTGCTTGCCTCCTATTCCAGCCCCAGCTCCACTGCATTATCTGGAGCTCTGTCATGGTTTGGTTTAGTGTTATGTGTCAACTTGGGCTCATGTTTTGTCTCCCCAAAGCAAACTGCAAGCAGAAGATGAACAACCAACCTCAGTTGCAGCTTGCAAGACAAACGACAAGCCTGGGTTTGTAAACAAGTCTAAGCCAAACCATGGCTTAGCTCCAGGCAGCACAGCTGGAGGAGGGAGCAGGGAGTGTAGCCACCACAATTTTTGCTCTGGGTACCCCCACACTAACATATGCTCACTGAGTCATAGTTTTGTTTCAGTTTGTGTGCAAACTGAGCACTAGTCACAAAGGAGTTTTTCCATTCACGCTACCATTTGTCCCTCCTTAAGTATTAGGTTGTTTTCTCTTCCTGACAGAAGCACAACACACACCCAGAGCACTGCTCTGTTGCAATGGCAGGGAAAAGATAGGTAGGAAATTGCTGCCTGTACCTTTACAAACTATTTGAATTTTCAGGTACTTCTGAAATGACCTCTGGTGTCTCATGACTGCTGAAATCTAGAGGATCATCATATACAATAAACATGTCATAGTGACCCTAAAATCAGTAACTGCAATGACTGTGAGATATATAGCGTTCTGCACTTGTCTGGATACCATGTAGGCTTCTACTAGAATTACATAGGATGCTTCCTTTTATGATTAGTTCTTTTGAAGCCCTGAAATTAGTATTTGCCAAGGTTTATCTATGATTAACTGTATGCCTGTCCTGAACCTGCAATTGGAATCACTGCCAAAGGTACCATAGAAATCCAGCAACCCTCACAAAAGGCTCTATTCACACAACTTGGAAAGCAGTTCAGCATTCATTAGGAACTTCCTTCTTTTAAGTTCCACGTTTCTCTCATGTGCCCGCCCTCCCCTTTTTGGTGCTCATTTCCTACACACCCTCAGCCTAGATGCCAGTTTCCCCCATCAGTAGAAATTGGAGGAAAGCTTGCCTGCAAAGTTTGCATGTGTCCTCCCTCTTTTCTTCCTTCTTCAAAGGAAGGGACAGGAGGATGAAGCAGCACTAAAATGGGGTCTGGCTGGGGAGTGCAGCGGGGTGACATGAGACTTGCATATACACAACAGTCTGGTAGACTGGAGGTAACCAAAAATAATTTGCAAAGGTATTCAAAAGCTGTAAGGTTTCAAAACCATTGCCCAACACAAAATTATTTCAATGAGTCCTCTAGTTTCAAAAGAATCATTTCAAAATTACAGATCACAAGTAGCACAAAGCTTCTGCAACAGATCCCACCAACATAAATAATCAAAGTCAAAAGCCTGTGCATGATGGCTTCTCAGTTCCAGGGGAGGGGGAACACATGATGCACCGGCAGAGCAGTTTTTCAAGCGGTGCTGAGGAAGTCACTTCAGCTGCCAAGAGGCTCCATGTGGGCACAAAATGGAACCTATGGCAAGCTGGCACCTAGCATAGATTTGGGGCAGCATCTTCCTATGCTCTTGACTGACAAGATAACTTTCTCTGTACAAATACGCAACAACTGCAAGTCCAAGCATGTGAAAATATACTCAAAGCCATCTCAAATAATTTTAATATTTTAGTAATTTTAGAAGGGTTGTCTGTGTTATCATCTACTCTCATCTAGTATTTTATCTATCAGCAGTTTCATTGTATTTCTGTGTTTTCATTGTAAGCTGCATTGAAAGAGTCTCAAAAGGTGGCATATAAACATTTTAAATAAATACATAGCTTAAAAACTTGCTCTGGCGTCAGGCCCTGCCTTGCACAAAGGATTTCAAAAGCAGGACACAGCCATATAAAACCCTCTGCAAACCAACCATCATTTACAGATCAATAAATAGGAAGGCCAGATAGAACAAGAGCCAGAAAAATAGTTCTAGCCACCAATGATGCCATTAATTTACTGACCGCGAAAAAAAGGCAAGGGAAAAAACATCCTACTCACTTCAGAGGGATTCGTGAAACTGCATTCACATTGGCCGAAGTTGTCACAACTTGAAGGACTTGTTCCAGGGCTGTAAATCCCCCTGCCACGTGAAATGCAATCTGATCTGCTGTATTCTGTGTTGAAAACATAAAAAGTAAGAGTAATTAGTCCAAGTATTTTACTGATTTATCAGGCAATGTTTTGTCTGACTGCACAAGTTTACTGTTCAGTGCTATATAGAACTCTTGTACACATTCAAATGCAGCAAACCTTTGAGAACTAGGCATGAACTCCCCTCAAGGATGTAAGAAGAGCTAGCTGCTGGATGAGGCCAGAAGAGGCCTATCTAGACCAGTATCCTGTTCCCACTGGGGCCACCCAGATGCCCCTGTGGAAAACCCACAAGCAGGACCAGAGCACAAGAGCCTCTCCCTCCTGTGGTTTCCAGAAGCCTTGCTGCCTCCATCTGTGGAGGCAGAAGCACAGCCACCCTTTCTAGGAGTGATCAACATCCCTCTCCTCCTCCGTCAATCTGTCTAATCCTCTTTCTTGGTTGGTGGCCATCACTGCCTTCCGTGAGAGCATGTTTCTTCAATGCCTGGTCATGATGCATGTGTGCCTGATTAAAATGTTGACTACAAATGGTTCAGCCAAGCACCAAGCTTTCCATTGAGCTAGTGGGGTTCTTTGACTTCCAGGTATTGGATCCTCCATGCCACTGAAGTCCTTTCAGTTTCAAAAGAAGTTTGCCAAAAGACATAGGAGGCAGCTATTTGAGCAAGGTAAACCAATCCTTTTGGTGTGCAGAACCAGTCACACAGTTCTTTGGGTCTTAGCCAGATAACCGGGGGAAAGAAAAAGAAACACCTCTCACTTTGACTATATTTTGGAGAAACCTTGGCAACCACTAGTGGGAACTACCTATAATCAATTCTATTGTGAATGAGCAAACACACGAACCAAGCCATGCAAAGCAAAAGGACCTTATTACTGCCCCCCCCCCCCCCGATGATTGATGCTCCTTGCTTTAGGGATTGTTTGCT